TATCCAATTTGAACGGAGCGATTCAACTTTTACAAACCTGTTCCACTGCCGTTTAATTGCTTCATACGCGGAAATAGTGTGCAAATTTCGTTTTACGTAACCGAATAGATGTCGCGGTGTTTCACACGCGGCAGTGTCATGCATCGGGTTACTTTTTAATCGAGGACCCCGTCTGCGTTGTCGTTGACTCTGTTGCACGATCAATTCTATTTCTCGGAGTTTTCTTCCCCGTGTTTCCGCCTACATTCCCAGAATTTATTTAGAAAAACTGTCAGCCGTGGAAAGTTGGGTTGTTACAACGGCAGAGAGAGGGCTCTATAAAATTTCTCACGGTAAAGTTCACTTAAGAACGGAGAAATCGTGGTGCTGTTGCTGCTCTTGGGCGTAAAGAGGAGTAAAGAGACTGGCGAATTTCGAGCTTTACAGATTCTCCGCTGTCGGTTTCGTCGGAGCAACCCTGAACGTATGATTCGCCTGTTTAAATAATGAACTCTGGAAACTGATCTTGCTTGATGTAAAAGCGTAATTTCCCCGAAAAGGGAAGAGAGGAAGAGAGTGAAAAAAGGTAGAACACGGAGAGACAAAAGTTTGCTGGAAGCGAGCGGTCGATGTTTAAAAAGAGTGCCACGACTGAAGGAGACAGCGCGTTAGGTTATCGGTGGAAAATTCGGCTCACGTGACTGATTTACGCCCGAGTAGGTTTGCCGTAGAAAAGTTTTTGCATTACTTACGAGAGGACGTACAACTTGGGATCGAGCCAGAGGCTGTAATTGCTCGAAGGCACAGATTTCACCGCAACGATGTGGATCTTCGGTCCGGTCGATCGATACGTCGAATTGCCCTCTCGTTCCACCCGGTCCGCGCTCGCCCTCAGCATCGAGGTCAGGGACTCCTGGTCGCATGTAGCCGGCAGACAAAGGCCCAAAAATACTTGTCGCGTCTGAAAAAGAGAAATTCCAACCACTTTGCTCGACGACCTACGAGAGAAGAAGAAGAAGAAGGAAAGAAAGAGGATCCTGACGTGTGGAAATTAAATTGGAAGCGTCAGAACGTACGAAACAAAACTTCACAGGAGGATTCTATTCCAAGATTAATTAAACTTCTATTCGCTTCTGTTCGCCCCGACGGTTTACTCTGAACCGTGATTTTCAAACTGTTTTAAAGTTCGACGAGCTTTTAAAATTCATTTTCTTCTCGAGGCTTTCCTTCCTTCCTTTGCCACGTTTTTCCCCATCCCTTCTTTCATTGCCTGGCCGCTTTTACTTTCCGCGTTGCACACTTTTTTTCGTCTCTTTCCTGCTTCCTCTCCTTTGCGGCTTAATTTCACCGACCCCGCGCGGCGGTTAGGAGAGTCGCGAGATAATCTAACCCGGATCGAAGGATTTGCTCTGGTTCGTGAAAAGTGAACACCCTCTATTTTCGCCTCTGGGATTTCCTTCTCATACCGTTTTAGAGGATTTCCACGAACGTGGACAACGTCCCAGACCATTTGCATGTGTACCTCGTGTATCCTTGCATCTTAAATTTCTCAGGAGCTTCAGCAATTTAAGGGTAACCGTTCGTCCAGATTACGCATTTATTCGCGGAGAAAAGAAGCTAATCGAGAAATATAAAGCTCGGCGTAATCTGATTAAACCGAATGCTAAAAGTTAGATTCTTCGGGGGAAGAAAGTTCGTCCAGCAGGTGTTGGGAAACTTTGCCAACTTACTTTGAATACGATTGGAACGCTGACAAGCCGAGCGTTGTCTCAGTCGTTGCTACGGAATTAACACATTTGGATTGCCCGTGCAAATTCGTTTTCCTTGTTGTCCTAATTGCAGTTTCTTCCAGAGAGATAATGGTGGAATCGAGCGGTGTTTGTTTTTCCATAAATATCGGT